TTCTGTTGCCTGTGACCCCAACCCGATGAAAGCGTACTTACAGGGAGGAGGTCCGAGTTTGGCAATGCATTCATCTGTCAGAACATTAGATAAACTTTTGTCTTCCAACTGCGATGCTTTTGAACAAGTTCTTGATTGCTTCCGCTCGTTTGATCTCTACCTCTCTTACTATGGGATCATCTTCATCATACTGATAAGGGTTGTGTTCCTGATGAATTGTTTCGAGCTGAGATTTTGCACGGGCGCGCGAGTTGTCCAGTTCCTTTTTGTGATCTAACGCGCTGCTATACGGGCACGGTTCACAGTCAAGGTTACAGGTGTTTCTAAGGAACTGCCTTTCTGTTTCTTGCAGTCTTGTGATCATGTTCTGTTTGTCTCCATCTGTTCTAGCCATGGAGGCGTTATACAGAGCTGCCGCCTGTGTGAATTTCCTACCTTCTCCTGTCCGCTTACCTCGCTCGACGTAGACGTCACCCAACCTGCACAGACAGTCGGCTTCTTTAGCCTTGTTGGGCTTATCGCGATCTGTGAATAGGAATTCGGAATCAAACTTCTGCAGTTCAACTTCACCTAATAATATGATTAAATCTTGACAAACACTGAAGTCTTAAGTGAAATACCTTTATGGTTTTAATAGATCCAAATCTTCCATGATAAAAAAATGCTATTTCAGTGGTTAGTAAAAACTTAAAACTTATGATTAGATGATATTTGCAAGTGGAGAGTGTATAACATTAACAGACCGTGAAGAAGTTTCAGTGCGGCTGCTAAGTTCTGCTCTGCTGCGTCCAGGTCTCCATTTCTCACATCACTTTCTGCCGTCTGAATGTATCTGCGGTAGGATCTGTACAACGAAACAAACATTATTGGGAAACAAACGTACTTCACAAAGGCGACAAATTCAATCCTTTTTTGTATATACAATAGTATGCCAAGATTTTTTTTATACTTTTTAATATACATAAATCTGTACAACCAATAGCTAGTGTTATTGACAGCATCAAAACTTGATGTTAAAAGCAGTAATATGTAATGACATGTGTGATACATTTCTGGCCATATTTTCTAGTGTTGCCTAGTTGATATTCATTTTGCAAAATCTGATTTATACCACACTTGTATACAAAATATCAGATATTCAAGATATTCATATTTATTGAGTTATTTGGATTTGGAACAGCACTTTATACATGAGACAAGGAAACATAGAGGCACTAACGTGTCGTCGTCAACTTGACAGGTAGTTCCGTCGCTAGAGGGCGCAGCTGAGAAGGGAGAGAAGTGGCCCTTCCGTCCTCTCACGTCTTGTTGTCGTTGCTTATGTGTTGGCCTCTGTGAGAACCCATAGGGAGTAGTAGTATAAGATTAACAACCTGGCATGACCCGAATGTGCTTTTTCAGGCAAAAAGTACAATCGCTTATATAACACCTTCTACTACTAAAAAACGCAACAAAATCATTCTAGCCGAAAAAGGACACCATATGAGACTTAACTTTCGCTATTAGCGACGCGAAATGCATGACGGGATTCATGGGGATAAACAAACCTATTCGAAACCCGGAAGTCTAATCAGCACTGGCAAGTCAGGCCAAAAAAATATACACTCACCTTGTTTCTTGTCAAGGTGATCACGTCTTGTCTGATTTTTGCTGTGTGCAGTAAGCGGTGAACAATGACAACTGTTCCATGAACGTTGTGACACCTCGCCAGTGCCCTGTTGTACAGAGCAGTAGCTCTGGTCAAGTTGCTAGTGTCTCCAGTTTCTGTTCCTCTTTTTAGGTACACGTCACCCAGACTCTTGATCGCTTCTGTTTCTAACATGTCGTTGTCTTTTACTATCGCCTCTACCATCACCTGTGCGTATCCAACCAGCAAAGAGTCCGCGTTACCTTCGGTAGCTCGCCTCTTGTCCAGATCTTGGAACTTTTCCGCTACCTTTGCAGGTGTAGTCGTCCCCTTGACTTCAGTTCGCTGTTCCTTACCCTGTGACGACACCCCTTGTAAAAGCCTCTCCGTGTAGTGGTAGCGATGTTCTATACCATCTGCCTGTTCTTCATGGTAACACCGTACCATAGCAGCCAGATAAAGCGCCAAGGCCGTGTTGAACTTCCCTACGTCCTTCCCGAGTCTTCCCTTCTCCACGTTCACGTCGCCCAGAGTTTTGAGCAGCTCCACTTCCGCCAGCCTGTCCGTGTCGGCCATGGCGTCTACCAGGGCACGGAGGTAGCCTGTCTCCGCACGGGCTAGTCCGTACCTCCTGCCCTTCTCGTCCGCCTCACGGAGTTTCTCACACACCCGCAACATGGCTGACACTTGCTATGCTAAAATGTCTCTAAAACTCTTTGTCTTAACGGGCTCCGGAGCTCCGGTCTCTGTGCTAGCTTGACTTGACAAGCATAGGTTTCACACCGCTTGTGTCAACTTGCACTACGTCATATGCATACGTGTTTCAGTTCAAAGGTTGTAGGCTGAATACAAAGTACTAAGTAATCTACAAGCAGGTTTCTTCGGGGCGATCAAATTGGCCCCCGAATTACCATTTCCCCCCTGTATTTTCAATTTAACACCGTATTTAAGTCTGCTTGAGATTAATGTCCTGTATATCTGTCCTGTCCGGCAGATACTTTCAAGGTATTCAAGGATTTTCTCAATATTACATATTAAAATATTTCAAATATTTGACAATCCATCCATGGCTTTTGAGTTATCGTACTAAACCACACACATGCATGCAGACACTACCAAAACATAACGTTCTGGGCAAAGGTAAAAACATAAATTTTTCAAAATTTCTCAACATTGATTGAAATGCAATTTAACGTTAACGTTACCTATCTTAATGGCGTCCTATCATTATGAATTCATTTTCGGTGTTAAAACATTAACGTTGAAGTTTCCTGATTACTAAAAAGTATTAGTTAGAGAAATATGAGGCCTAAAAACTTTATGAGTGCCCCTTCCCACATCTGCTTGAAAATGAGCTCTCCGAGCAATCATTCATTCTCGGTACCAGTCGGTACTAGTCGGACGATCCCCGACTTGTGCCGACAACTCCAGGCAGATGTTTCGGTGGCTGCAAAGACAGTATCAAATTGGCCAGGCAGTACTGGTATCCGCTCGTCGGACAGTTACCATTTATAGTAAGAGAGCCCAATAAAACGCCTTGAACATCTTCCATTGTATCTTTTGGTTCGTCTATCTTTAAGCAGACCTTAAACCATGCGTAAAGCTACACGAAAGTAAAGAAACGGAAACTTTACGCATGTTTTAAGGGATTCGTAAAGAAGAGTTCTCTGCTGTGATCAATGTATATGTCCATGAAGACTTAACAGTAACCTGTGCATGGGTGTAGGAATTTATGGTAAGAGTGTAAGACTCAAGAGACACACCCCTGTCAATAGAATAGCACAGCCCAGTGGCCAAAACAGAGAGCATGGTCTATATTTATTACCGGTGTTTTGCTGCAATATGTAAAAGTCACATAGGAGGCGCGGATGATAAGTGCATACGGAGATAGACTGTGGTGTTGTTTATGTCAACTGGTGTTCAGCAAATGATTATGGTCTTATACTGCGGCATTTAAGGTTAACTTGAGCAGGGACGTGGTAGGACTTCCTTAACCCCTGTGACCCCCCCCCCCACGCACACACATATGGTTTTCAATAAATCATTGTTTTCTCAATATAAGTTCCTTGTAGTCTATGATCCATTACAAATAACGTAGTCACTAGGAATATTTAAAAATCACTTTTACTAACACTTGTTTATCATGTGAATTTTGTCAAGGGAGGAATATTGTTAGCTACATCATTTCTTTGTTTTGTTTGTTTCGCATAACCGGTAAACTGCCTTTAGGCGTAACAGACCAGTTTTGTACATGTAAGGTAAGTACAAGCTGTGTAAGACCGGACTGTAAGGTTTGAACCACTCATACCGCCAACACCGAGGCCAAGGTCAATCACCCACATTTACAATACACTATCAAGTTTTGTACTTAGTTTTACTCCAAGTGTCCTTCACTAAAACACTTTTAATACGAAACATGTACTAGAATCTCAGCGTGAACGTTTTCTGAGTTGATTATCTACATTCTCACTGGATGCTTATCATAGAGACAAAGAGGCGGGATGGGCTTGGTAAGTTTAATGTTGTAAAACATGACAATCCACGGGTGGGTGTACAAAAGTTCAGATGTGCTCAAGTACATGAGCTTCACCACTACCGCTACTTGTGATGTTAATACAGTAATAATAATGAAACTTTATTGCATGTTCATTCCCCGGGAGGATAAATGCACGGATGTACAAAGTACAATATACTAAAGAGTACTACAACAATAGTAATGAAGAAAGGCTAATATCAGGTCTAAGGTATACAATGCTAAAAAAAAAGAAATATATATATGAAGTGGTATTGATCTAAGTTCTAATGGCTTTTTCTCTCACATACAACGGATGATCTCTGGGTCGCGTGAGGTCAGGGGTCATTTCCGTGCATCTAGTTACTGTAACTTATTTGATATAAAGCTCAAATAGTCACAATTATTACACAACTGACAATCCACCAGAAAAGCAGGTCTAACTCCCTCCGTGGCAAAACTCGCGTCGTCCAGCAAAAAAATCAACACCACCACCGCACAAGTCTACATTGCCATGCTACATAGTCTTTTGTATATGGTACGTTAGTTTCCTTGAATTGCTTTTAAGTAAAAGGAGTTGCCATATATTATATCATATTTTATACACTTTGTGAGCAACAAAGCTGTATATTAATAAGACAGGCAGTGGGAAGTACCATGGTATTCCCTTAGTTAACTTATCTTAAGTTAACTAATCTTAACTAATCTTAAGTTAACTAATCTTAAGTTAACTCATCTTAAGTTAACTCATCTTAAGTTAACTAATCTTAAGGATTTGCGATAACCAATGGCTTTACTCTAATGGCGGAGGGCCTTTTTACATACTCGGATGTTGTTTAGTATTGCTACTATTTTTGGATGAGATGTGTTGTCCCCGTAAATAACTTTCATCATATCCAATGACTGTTCGAAATAACTGATAGCTTTCCTCAGATCACCGATTCCAACCCAACATTTACCAATGTTGTTTAGTGGTGTCGCAATGTCAGGATGTGGCGTTGTTTCACCATAGATAGCTTTTCTCATCTTCAGTGACTGTTCGAGATAACTGATAGCTTTCTTCTGATCACGAAGGTTACTCCAACAATTGCCAATGTTATTCAAAGATGAAGCAATGTCGGGATGTGGGGTTGTTTCGCCATGCATAACCTTCCTCATCTTCAATGACTGTTCGTAATAGGTAATAGCTTTCCTCTGATCACCAAGGCCAGTCCAACATGCTCCAATGTTGTTTAAAGATGAAGCAATGTCGGGATGTGGCGTTGTTTCACCATAAATAACTTTCCTCATCTTCAGTGACTGTTCATGATAATTGATAGCTTTCCTCTGATCACCGAGGTTCCACCAACATGACCCAATGTTGTTTAGTGATGAAGCAATGTCGGGATGTTCTGTCGTTTCACCATAGATAGTTTTCCTCATCTTCAGTGATTGTTCATTATGACAGATAGCTTTCTTGTGATCGCCAAGGTAACTCCAACAGCTCCCAATGTTGCTTAGTGATGAAGCAATACTGGGATGTGGTGTTGTTTCGCCGTAGATAGATTTCTCCATCTTCAATGACAGTTCGTAAAAATTGATAGCTTTCATCTGATCACCAAGGCCACTCCAACATAACCCAATGTTGTTTAGTGATGAAGAAATGTCGGGATGTGGCGTTGTTTCACCATAGATAGCTCTCATCATCTTCAGTGCCTGTTCATGATAAGTAATAGCTTTTCTCTGATCGCCAAGGTCACCCCAACATGACCCAATGTTGTTTAGTGATGAAGCAATGACCAAATGTGGTGCTGTTTTGCCATAGATAGCTCTCATAATCTTCAGTGACTGTTCATAATAATTGATAGCTTTCTTCTGATCACCAAGGTCACTCCAACATTTACCGATATTGTTTAGTAATGAAGCTATATCTTGATGTGCTGTTGTTTTGCCATAGATAACCTTCATCATCTTCATTGACTGTTCGTAATAACTAATAGCTTTCATCTGATCACCAAGGTCACTCCAACATCCCCCAATGTTGTTAAGTGATGAGGCAATGTCGGTATGTGCTGTTGTTTTGCCATAGATAGCTCTCGTCATCTTCAGTGACCGTTCGTGATAACTGATGGCTCTCCTCTGATCACCAAGGTCACGCCAACATGACCCAATGTTATGAAGTGATACAGCAATGTCGGGATGTGGCGTTGTTTCGCCGTACATAGCTTTCTCCATCTTCAGTGCCTTCTCGTGATAGCTTATAGCTTTCCTCTGATCACCAAGGTCACGCCAACATAACCCTATGCTTCCAAGTAATCGGTAAACTACGACGCTCATTTTTGTGCCTCTATATATATCGTTTCCAATACGAAGTGCCTGTTTGAAGTAGGTGATCGCTTTCCTACAGTCACCGCGCCTGAGCAAGACATTGCCTAGGTCAAAAAGGATTTCTAATTGTTTTTTCTCGTCACCGCCCGCCTCTTCCAGTGCTGCCTCAAAGTGACGTATGGATGCGTCTAACTGCAACAGCTGTTGTGTTATTTGACCCCTGATTTGAAATGAGGTGTCAAAGATTGCTGTTGGGAATATCTTTGTCGTTGCATTTTTCTCTGCGATTGTATCCGTAATGCATCGTTTTAATGGAATAGCTGTATAATAGTACCTGAACAACATTTTAGAGTCCGATATGTAGAAAACTGACTGAACGGAAGTGTCATCTACGTCATGTTTGTCCAGTTGGACTTTCATCTCCGTGAGAGGAGACAGTCTGTCCTTCTGTCCTCCGTTGGCAATGTACGTTCTTAACCGTAGCTCCGCTGAGATGCTGATCAGTACAGTCAAGTGGTGGGCATCTTCGTGACTGATCCGTCGTGTCTTGCGTAACTCTTCTATCATTCCCCACACACTGGGGATCGTAATACCACAGCGAATACTCAACACATCAACGGCCACGCTGGGAAAACGATATATTTCTTTCTTCACATCCAGGAGCTGTCCCGTAGGTTTAACATTTTCTACAAGTTGCCCAATATTCGGTATTAGCAATGCTGACAACCGTGACAGAACAGGGGAACGGTCTACGATTTTGTTGACTCTGTCCGTATAATCATCCACCAAAGACTCGTCTCCTGCTAAGTAGGTCACCCGTCTGAGGATGTCTGACAGGTGATAGCCTTCCGCCAGGGCGATGTGCAGATGCTGATATTCGGCCAACTTAGCAGGAGTCTGGATGAGACTAACGGGAGGTTTGCTTTTGGTTTCGTCTCTTCCAAAGGGAGTTTTAGAAGCCCATGGCATGAAGCCGTCGAAGGCGAAGCCGCGAGGTGTGACGGAGTCGAAGAACCAGTCTTTCTCTGGGTCTTCTGAGAGAAAGTCGTTGAGTGACGGGATGGCCATGGCCGGGAGGATTGTTTCCCCAAGGTTGATGACTTTTAGATGTAAGTAGTGTGTGAGATTTAGGAAGTACCTCCGTGCATCGTCATCATCATCCTTCCCCTCCTCAATCAGAATGGAGTACTCCAGGTCGGAGTACGGCGTCACCAGTTCTGTTGCCTGTGATCCCAACCCGATGAAAGCATACTTACAGGGAGGAGGTCCAAGTTTGGCAATGCATTCATCTGTCAGAACATAGATAAACCTTTGTCTTCCAACTGCAATGCTTTTGAACAAGTTCTTGATTGCTTCTGCTCGTTTGATCTCTACCTCTCTTACTATGGGATCATCTTCATCATACTGATAAGGGTTGTGTTCCTGATGAATTGTTTCGAGCTGAGATTTTGCACGGGCGCGCGAGTTGTCCAGTTCCTTTTTGTGATCTAACGCGCTGCTATACGGGCACGGTTCACAGTCAAGGTTACAGGTGTTTCTAAGGAACTGCCTTTCTGTTTCTTGCAGTCTTGTGATCATGTTCTGTTTGTCTCCATCTGTTCTAGCCATGGAGGCGTTATACAGAGCTGCCGCCTGTGTGAATTTCCTACCTTCTCCTGTCCGCTTACCTCGCTCGACGTAGACGTCACCCAACCTGCACAGACAGTCGGCTTCTTTAGCCTTGTTGGGCTTATCGCGATCTGTGAATAGGAATTCGGAATCAAACTTCTGCAGTTCAACTTCACCTAATAATATGATTAAATCTTGACAAACACTGAGGTCTTAAGTGAAATACCTTTATGATTTTAATTGATCCAAATCTTCCATGATAAAAAAATGCTATTTCAGTGGTTAGTAAAAACTTATAATTAGATGATATTTGCAAGTGGAAAGTGTATAACATTAACAGACCGTGAACAAGTTTTAGTGCGGCTGCTAAGTTCTGCTCTGCTGCGTCCAGGTCTCCATTTCTCACATCACTTTCTGCCGTCTGAATGTATCTGCGGTAGGATCTGTAGAACGAAACAAACACTATTGGGAAAAAACGTACTTCACAAAGGTAAGTTCATTACTTCTTATTATATACAATAGAATGTCAATACTTTTTTTTATTTCCTAACATAAAACTGTATAGCCTACAGCTATATATAGTTAGTGTTATTAACAATATCAAAACTTAATGTCATACGCAGCAAAATGTAATGACATGTGTAATATATTTCTCGCCATATTTTCTAATGTTGCCTAGTTAATACATGTACTAGTATTCATTTCACAAAACCTGATTTTACCACACTTGTATACAAAATATCAGATATTCCGGACATTCATATCTAATACACGAGACAAGGAAACACTTAGAGGCACTAACATATCGTCAACTTGACAGGTGGTTCCGTCGCTAGAGGGCGCAGCTGAGAAGGGAGAGAAGTGGCCCTTCCGTCCTCTCACGTCTTGTTGTCGTTGCTTGTGTGTTGGCCTCTGTGAGAACCCATAGGGAGCAGTAGTATAAGATTAACAGGTGGCCATGTAACCCACAAAAGCTTTGGCAAAACGTCAAAGGTTAACGACCTGATATGACCCGTGGCAGACCAACGCAAACTTAGTCCATACTGAGTACCAAGTCGAAACCCGGAAGTCTATAAATCGCCACTGCAAGTCAGGCTCTAGTAAAAAAAAAATACACTCACCTTGTTTCTTGTGGTGATCACGTCTTGTCTGATTTTTGCTGTGTGCAGTAAGCGGTGAACAATGACAACTGTTCCATGAACGTTGTGACAGCGCGCCAGTGCCCTGTTGTACAGAGCAGTAGCTCTGGTCAAGTTTCTAGTGTCTCCAGTTTCTGTTCCTCTTTTCAGGTACACGTCACCCAGACTCTTGATCGCTTCTGTTTCTAACATGTCGTTGTCGTTTACTATCCCCTCTACCATCACCTGTGCGTATCCAACCAGCAAAGAGTCCGTGGTACCTTCGGTAGCCCGTCTCTTGTCCAGATCTTGGAACTTTTCCGCTACCTTTGCAGGTGTAGTCGTCCCCTTGTCTTCAGTTGGCTGTTCCTTACCCTGTGACGACACCCCTTGTAAAAGCCTCTCCGTGTAGTGGTAGCGGTGTTCTATACCATCTGCCTGTTCTTCATGGTAACACCGTACCATAGCAGCCAGATAAAGCGCCAAGGCCGTGTTGAACTTCCCCACGTCCTTCCCAAGTCTTCCCTTCTCCACGTTCACGTCGCCCAGAGTTTTGAGCAGCTCCACTTCCGCCAGCCTGTCCGTGTCGGCCATGGCGTCCACCAGGGCACGGAGGTAGCCTGTCTCCGCACGGGCTAGTCCGTACCTCCTGCCCTCCTCGTCCGCCTCACGGAGTTTCTCACACACTCGCAACATGACTGACACTTGCTATGCCATGTCTCTCAAAATCCTTGCCTTCACGGGTTCCGGGTCTTTATGCACCTGACTTGAACAAGCACAGGTTTCACACTCCTTGTGTCAACATTACGTCATCCGTCAATAAAGGTCCAATACACAAAAGCTTCGGAAATACCCGTAAACATATCAGGTAACCTGCGTACCTGTCTACGACCTTAGCTTTAGAATAATATTACCCATGTCTGTGACTCATATACTAGTACATGTATATCTGTACAACCAGAAATTACTGTATATTAGGCTTTATGCACCTGACTTGAAGAAGCACATCCTGTTTCACACTTGAACATTACGCCATCTATTACTTCAAAGCTTGTAGGTTAATACAATGAAATCTCCAAGCAGTGAGTTACCATTTGAGTTACCCCCTGTTGGGCGTATTGGATACTGCCTGGCCAATATGGGCTGGATTAGGGAGGTACCCTTTGCACTTAGAGGCCTCCCTAAACGCCATAAAACATTTTATCAGAATATGCCTAAATGTACCAACTGGGAGTCTCAATGCCGACGCACTTTTATGTCAGTTAGAATTAGATAGACTAGGTAGTAAATGTTGGGCATCTGGTGTACGGAAATCTTTAGAGGAATGCGGTTATGCCTTTGTTTGGCATTCTCCCCTATCAATTGCTTCAAAAGTGCACGCAACCATCTCCTCCATTCACCAACGTTTGAAAGACATTTACTTCCAAAAATTCCTACGCGAAATTCATAATGACAACAAATCCAAAAACGCAAAGAACAAACTGCGCTCGTACAGACTATTCAAATCTACTTATAATGAAGAACATTATCTTAAAATCCCAAACGAAAGTCAAAGAACCACCATCACCAAACTACGAATCAGCTGTCATAAACTCAGCATCGAAACAGGAAGGCACAACCGCACACCTCTGGAGCAAAGGATTTGCCAATTTTGTAGCTCAAACAAAGTAGAAGATGAAGCCCACTTTGTTATTGATTGTAGTTTATATAGTAATGAAAGAAATGATCTTTTTAGATATATTACTAGTACGTTTCCATACTTCCAATACTTGCCTAATATAGAAAAATTTATCTTTCTTATGTGCTTTGACCATCCTGTACTATACAAACCCATCTCAAATTATATTTTCAACATCACAAAGAAACGAGAAGAAGCCGAACCCCTGTATTAGATAGATTAGTAATTTTAGATCTGTTTGTACTACAAACATGTATATTACCAATTTCATCTGTTGACCTGTACTTAGCCCGATAGGGCATGAATGTACAATAAAGGTTATTATTGTTAAATATTGCAGTCTGCTTGGAGATTCAACACACTGTGCATCATTGCTACTCTCCAAGCAGAGGTTTAGATTTTGGGTTATTTTTGTCGTGTTTTTATCACAATAACTATTTCAGCCATACACATGGCGTGACTTTCAGCTGTTTAGAATATTTCAAATTTCTGGCAATCCGTCCATGGATTTCGGAGTTACCGTGCTAAATCACACACAAACATACAGACACTACCAAAACCATAACGTCCCAGCTAGGTAAAAGTATCATTGAAATTTGTCAAAATTTGTCAACATTGATCGATGCATATTAGTATTTACCTAACTTTATGGATACTGTTTGGGCGGGAAAACATTGAATATTTATTAGTTAGAGAAACATGAAGTCTAAAAACAACTGACAGACCAGAAGGTCTACAGGCGTCCGGGTGAGGTGGGTGAGATCTAAAAACATTCCCATCCCACATCTGCTTGAAGATAAATCTTCCGAGCATATAATCGCCATTCATTCTCGGTACTAGTCGGTAGTATTCGGACGATCCCCGACATGTGCCGATAACTACCGAACATGACGTCAGAGTCTTAGGGTCAGGGGTGAACCGAAATAATGTTGCTAAGGTTGGCTGGTTCTCGCCTTCGTGTGGAATTTCCACCATTTTAAGGTAAATTCTTGAATATTTTCTATAATTTCGGATTTCTACTTTGCCATGAGTCACTAGCAGATAGAAACAACACCAAATTGCTGGTGTTCTCATCTTTAATTTCATTTAATGTTTGATTTTACCGATCGCCACCGGTTTGCTATGAAAAAGCCTTCTGACCCTCTATAACCCTCTTCTAGCCTTCTATATATCAAATATAACGGTTCCAGTTAATATCTCTTATGGAAATATGATGTTTTAAGACATTTTCTTTTTTAGAATTTGAACAAGAAGTCGTTTTAGGTTTGGTTTCAGCTATAATTTCCGCTGTTGGAGTCTAATTTCCGCAATTTGTTGCTTTGCTTCCTTATAGTTATAACGTTACCATAATGTAAAAACATAGGCCCCAGGGTTCGGTAAAGCACTGAAGTTAAATGGTTATTAAACGCCTATAGATACATTTTCTTGACGTATCAAAATTATGACTTCTATGTTGTTTTACTATGCAGAATTTTTAACAAGGAAGCAAATCTATTCAAAATTGTACACATATCAAGAAGGAACTCAACAAATTATGTGAAAATGTCGGTTGAGTTATTATATTTTGAGTCGTGAAGCACTGAACAGTTTTAGTATTGTCCGTCATCCCAAGGACATTATGCACAGATACTCTGATACTCTGTGTATAATGTCCTTGGTCATCCATACTTCCTAAATTCTGAATGATGTAGGTAAAATTTGTCTGGTGCAGGTACTGTAATACATGTTCACGGTATCAAAAATTTGATAAAGAAAGAAAAATGGAGGTGTTCACAGAAATATATGTTTACGGTGGCAGCAGGTGCAGTTCTAAAAAAGAAAGCAAATTATTTGTTCACGGTTATGATAAGTTTGTGGTACATAAGTGACTGGAAAAACCGTGAACATAAAATTACCTCGAAAAAATAGGAATTAGGTAATTTTCAACTAATATTTCACACTGTTTAATGTGTTAAACACCAGAAATACATGTATTTAGGACTATACAAATGTATATCATAAAGCTGTTAACAGCTAATAACTTATTCTTGGGCTTGAGCCAGTTTTGCAATACATTTGCCATACTACCAGATGTGGTATTTTCCAGGGCGTGCCATTTGTGTTATGATATTAATATGACTGATGATGTGTGCGTCAATAGCAGGCATTGTGGCTTAGTGCTCCTGTATTTATTTTCTATAAAGCCACACCAATATAATCATTTGGTTCTTGTATTCGCTCGCTTCATTTCTTTCTGATTTGCACCAAAAAAAAAAAAGGATTTTGCTTCTGAATCAAGTCCTAAATGTCCATATTTTCGTCCTTGTCTTCCTTTCTTTATTACAGTTTTTCCATCTATCAATGCGTTTCTTTAATCAAAAGTTCAAAATTCATTGTTTGAATTATGAATCAGCCTGGTTTTTACATTATCATAGCATTTGCAGCTATATATATCAAGATGCCAAACAATGTTTCTTTCCCTGTTGCTTCAAATTTTTCTGAAAAAATCTGAGAACCAAGAAATAAAATTGGTATGGCCTAAGCTATATAAAGCCTGGGCAGACTTTTAATGTTATATGGCTCAATTGAAGTGGACCGTCCATCAGACATATTAATTCATTTTATAGTCCACAATTGTTTTTTTTAACCTGTCTGCGTACCTTATGATGTAAACATGAGGTAGTGTTTTTGTTTGTGTAACCTTTGTTGCTAGGCAGAGACCGACAAATTTAAGTGTCAGTAATGCATTTAGTCATGTAGATTTGATACAGTTTTTATATAACCATGGACACAAAGTGGCCTTGATTTTAGGGTTATGATTTGTGACTTTATGCTATAAATCTAAATGATTTTTTCGTGGTTACATGTATTTTCACAGTATTACTTCTGTACAGCGAATTTTATCATTACCCCAAACAAATCATTCGCCGACTTTCTTTCTTCTGCACCTGCTACCACTGCGAACATATAGTTCTGCAAACATGTCCATTTTTCTCAGACTGCAAAATTTTGCTACCACGAATATAAAGTGATTTACAGTAAGTTAAATAATGTACTATGTGTTCTTTGAAAGTTTGATATCCTCTCAACAATTTGTGACCTAGAAGTGCTTATTATCTACCAGCATTTTTATGTAGAAAAAGTCGTCCTGAAATTAGGTAAAATATGTAGTAAAACTAGTACTGTTAGTACTACATATGGTTCAAGGCAATGGTATGTATATTCTGCATGGGTACTAGTAGTAGTAGACACTGACACTAATATCACAAAACACACACGCACGTGGAATTCTTCCATAAGTCTGCTGAGTATGCATAATTCATTGATACTCAACTTTAGTGCTCCAATAACATATGTTCAAAAACAAGTTTTATTTGTCAATAGAAATGCTACTTTGCTAGAGATCTTGATGCTGGTAGCCTCAATTCATGACCAGTCACCTGTAGCAAGGTTCAACACACACTTGACTTGTTTGTAGGCATGTCTTCTGTTCCTTTCACATACACTGTATCTCAAGTAATAGTAAGCCTTAGGTGTTACGTACCAGTTGTGAAGAGTGAGTAGAACTACTAGAAGCTGTATGTGTAAGACTGTGAAGATTTGATCCACTGACACAGGGAAGGACCCCTACTCCTTTTGATATGTGCCGTGGGATCTTTTACATGCTTAATACTTACTGTTTATTTTCAGAAATGTTGCCAAGATACCCCCATGCAGACCCTTATACTTGCACAGTGAGATCACTACCTGAAACATGTATAAAAGAATCAAAATGTCTCAACCTTAAATTAGCTTAAGGTGTTGTTAGACGTTCATAAACATTAGAACGGATGTAAACATGGCACGACAGTGACCACACCCTCTTTTGTGTTTTTGTCATCCTTAAATTGTCAGACTCAAACAAGTTGACGTAAGGCTACACAGACCTAATTAAAATGGATGACATCCGTGTGCACATCAATTTTTAAAAAATATTCCAAGAAACCTAAATCCATTATATTGTCACAAGTAAGTCGGAGAAAAATGTACGTGTTCACAGAACAATATGTTTGAGGTGCTCAACACAAAGTCACCTGTTCCGTACATGTGCAGTTTACTCAACAAATTGACAAGACAACACATCAGATGTAAATACTTAGTTTTTCATTCAATCAGCTGAATATTTACTACAATGTATGTCCCTTAGATGTGCTGCACCAGTTTTCACCATTGCAAGTTATATGTTGTAGATTGCAATATTTGTAATTTGCCAATGCATTTTATTAATGTAAAATACTGTTTGTTTGTAGTGAACGGTTTTTAAACTTTGGAATTTGGACGTAATTCAGTGGTCCCATTGCAATGTTCAATAAATTGATCTTGAATCAGGTGGCAGGAGGCTAGAAAAAAGAAAGTCATCAAATTGTGATAATTGTTCACAGTAAGTATAATTCGCGGTACAAAAATGACCGCAAAAACTGTGAACATAAAAGTACCGCAAAAAATGTGAATTCAATTATATTACAGTATATTCAGCACCCCCTCTGTCTACTGAGTAACTGTTTATCCATTATCAGTGATGGATCTTTGTGTAATGACTCCCTGAAGCTATTGACACCACTATCACTGTACAGTAAATAATTTATTACTTTTGTGTCTTCACCTGCATATTTTGTCAAAGCCAAATAATCTACCTTTACAGGGTGCGAAAATATTTTTAAAGCCATGTTGTACAATGGGCAAGCTGTATGCCAAAAGCTGAGGATGCCAGTAGACAGTGGCATTTATGTAGGTTGCCTGTACACGTGTATAGGCCCTGGAAACAGTCTGGCAGTGGTACCCAGGCTAATTTTTTAGGCATCTGGAGGCCCCTTCTTGTTGTTCACACTTATAGCTATATGTCTGAAAGTTTGTTGTTGGTCAATGTTAGATAATATATTATGTAGGTCAACATTGCCACACAACTTCTCAGAAAGGTGGCCATGTTTTACACCAATATCATTATAATTTCTATAATTTGATATCAGATTATTCTAAATTAATAAGGGTCAGGAGCTGGCAATTTCAGTCAGAGATCTAGAGGAGACTGAGAAAGAACTGTTACACAGAAAATTCTGGCTTTACATGTCACATCCATAAAGACATCCCTTACTGAAGCTATATGTAGGTACTAATTAATTTTCACTAAGAGTTGAGTGATGAAATAGGTATACTGACGTGTAAAATGTAGATTTGGAGTCTACAGAGGATGTCAACCTTTTATTTACGTGCTGTACATGTGGACTTATTAGGCCAAGGGAAAAATTGTTGTGTTTCCAGTTGACCCGAAAGGAGGCTTAAATCAACAGGTTTTTGCTAGGTTCAGTGGGGAAACTGGAAACACAACATTTTTTTCATAGGCCTTAAACTGATACAAAATGATAATAGACAGGATGTACCGAATTCTTTCTTTTGTGGTTTCAGATCCGCCGCAGTCTACACATGACGACCATGGAAGGAACTTGACTTGCCAGGGGGGAGGGGCGCACATAGCTTGTAACAGCTGCTTGATTTAAATATTCCGACACTTTTACATGTTGCGGCAGACAAAATTCAAACGGAGCCCCAGCTACGCTACGCCAACACCCTTCACAATGCAACGGCCATGGCTGAAACTGACGTCGCGACGAATCGGCATGCTCCTAGTTCTGCTGGGGTTTGCGTGGGGGTGCACCCTGATACATTTCACCCTCACAAGGTCGGAGAGGTCAAACGAAAGCGAAGCTCTGAGGAAAAAGATCCTCACCATGAGCAGAGAGTACGTCAAGGAGGTGGCCAAGAAAGCGGAAAGTTCGCCGGACGGACTTTTGGAAGAGCCAGAAGAAGCTGCAGCAGGATATGGGTTCGGTGAGTAACTTTTCAGTTTTTATGTTCACCTTCGCAGAAGGAAAACATACAATTGTTTTTGCTCAGTTTCTACGTCTTCTTCTTCCGTTCCAAACAATTAAAGTCAATGACCTGGACCAGATGTCTGTCACCATGGTAACTGGTGCTGTAGCAGACACTCTGTGGTGTTGGGTTACATTATGTAGCAGAACAGATCTAGAGTTGGAGAACCTCATCGCACCATACATTTTGACTTAAGCTACATGTATCTAAGTCTATTTAGCAAATTCATTTGGCCTTCTAGATGTACATGTAGCATAAATAGTAAAATGGATATTTTGTGTCCTCTCTGATCAACTTATTTATAGTGTCCATATCAAAGATCAAACAGACAATACAGGATATGATGATTATGGAGATACAGGATGTATTAATGGTTTATCGATTTTTGTTACCTTTCAGGGGGTTATATTTTTGGTAGCATTTGTATACATGTATATGCAGTGTTAGAAATACCCATCTGCAGTCTGCATTTTGCAGAGACATTTTCAATATTGGAGAAGAAAAATTAAGCAACCTGCAATGAATCGATACTTCATTAAACAGCATACCAGGTATCAATATACATAACAATGCATGTGAAATGTATTGCATGCGTAGACCCTGTACCAAGACATTGCCTTTGTCTCCCCATGTAATGCATGTGTGGAGATCAATACCAAAGCTGTTGCAAAGGTCACAGACATGACACAATGTTGTGTGAAGGCTGGAGGGATTTATTGATTCTTTAAAGGACTAGTCTGTACAGTAGTTTTAGCAAGTAGGCCTGATTCTAATGGTGCAGTATGCAATTTCATCTTTAAAAGAATCGATTCTTACACAAGATGTAGTTATGTTTACCTTCGCAGAAGGAAAACATATTGTTTTTGCTCTGTTTCCTCTTCCTCTTCTTCTTCTCTAAGCAAATAAGGTCAATGACCTGAACCAGACGTCTGTCACCATGGTAACTACATGTTGGGTTATGTCATATTGCAATTTTATAGCAGGAGGGTTTTAGATTCCTGTGTCAACATATATGAATGTGTTTGACTAAGAATTAACAGAGCAGACCATATGTGAAGGTAAACATTATATGCATTTGCCTTGCAAATGTTTGGATTTTCAAGCCTTCAAAAACACAATTTCTCACATGTACACATGTACTTTGTATATAGAATTTCCTTTTCAGGTATGAAGAAGGGCTTAACCAAACATTCAAAACTTCCACATTTTCTCCTTTACAGATATGAAGAAGGGCTTTGCTGTTTTGCTAAACGACATGCTGAAACGCCTGGACAAACTAGAAGAGCGCTTCAACAAGCTGGACCCTCACAACAAGGAAAACGGAAGCAAAGACACCCCACCCTTACAGATCAAGAGTAACCTGGAAGGAGTGAACCACCCCGAGACCTGTGAGGTGCCGACTGCGCCGGAGTATCCGCACTGTGGGGGGAAGGTGGAGTGGATGAAGGGGTTCTGGACCACAGATCCGTGTTATGCTGACTATGGCGTAGACGGGACTGTCTGTTCCTACCTCGTCTACTTAAGTGAGGTGAGTTGTACTGGACCACCAGTCTGTTCTGAAAGTAAAATTTTTCTATGTGATATATTGGGACTGGTCTCTGTCTGTCTAAATCACTTTCAGTTTGATGGTGGGTGGGAGATGATTTTGACAGTTGATTGATGGGGAGCATGTACTGTATGGGGGTATTTTATTGTACTTAAATTATTTAGAAAAAATGTTTTTTAATTTTATCATATTTTCATACTTTTTATTCAACGTGTAGGTTGAACACTGGTGCCCTCCTCTGCCATGGCGCAAGAATTTCACATCAACTGCATCAGTCGAGCCTGGTGAAATGGTGAGAAAAATGCTTAATGTACTGATGACAAGTTGTTGTGGTTAACATGTTTGGGTGAATGTCTTCCTTTATTCCTCATAGGGAATTCCTCCTATTTTCCCACTGGCTCCCATAAGGCAGGAGACATGTGCATGTGTGCCACAGGAAATTGAAGACAGGATATGAGATAACCTTTTCTGGGGCCTTTCTGGAACCTTTGACCTAACTTTCAACTGCACAGACATGTGCACTGCAATGTATTGCAGTACTGCAAAAAGTGATTTACAGTTGTGTAGTAGAATAGCCTGGGTGCCATCCTCTGTAGTTTCCGCCCGCTCCCTAATGTCGCTGGGTCCAAACTATGGAGGATGGCACCCAGGCTAGTATTAAAAGGCAAGCGATGACAAAAATGTCTGATTTCTTGTTGCGATGTTGACAGGCCAGTCTACAGGAGGATCCTGAACCCCTGCTGAGGCTGCTGAGTTCAGACAAGAGTCTTCTGTGGATTAAGATGCGTGTGGAGAGGATGTGGCCTCAGTGGGTGGAGGCAGCCAACAGCCTAGCACACAGTCTGGCAAACAGGAGCAAGAAAAGGGTAAGAACTGTTAGACTCAATATTAGCACACAGGCAAAAATCTGACCTACAAAAACTGCATACACGTACACTCAGGCAAGTGTACAAAAACTGCACACGCCAAATTTTTCCTGTGTAAATTGGTCTGCTTTGACATATTTTTTAAAATTTACCTTCAGATCCTACTATACATGTACTTTAAGTGCCTCGAGTATGATCCAAGCATGTTCTTGACGTTCATTATGGCCATTTTATATGCACATGCAGGAAAAATTTAACGTACACAGTTTTTGTACACTAGGATGTGTACCCAATTTTTGTACTGCCATATATACATAAAGATATATGCATTGTGTACATGTATACATACAGACATACACACATGCATACATAATATATATAGATTGATATACACCAGGTAGCATGTAGGGTTGCCACAAAGTCAACATATATGTGTACATGTATTAGGCTGGTTTGTAGTTCTAACAATGGATTAATAACTTTTAACAGAATGACTGCATTTTGATACATGGAAAATAGTATTAAATAAAAACAGTAGAAAGTACAATTATGTACATGTACAGGTAGTGAACACACCTACAGTAGTAAGCGTACAATCTTGCATGTATACAAGGGTGCCTTCCCGTAAACTAATCTCTTTTTTCTAGATTCTGATTCATCTAGGACTTCTGTCCAAAGAAGCGGAGTGGCATTTTGGAGAGAAGGCGTTTGACGGAGGTCCTCTCGGAGAGCTGGTCCAGTGGAGTGACATCATCGCAAGTGTCTACATCCTCGGGCACGACCTTGAACTGTCCTTCACTAAAGAAAATCTCAAGAGGTAAGACGATGTGTACGAAATCTTAGTTTACTGGGAAATTATGGGATAGAAATAAACTGTTCTCCAATCCACACTCAGATATTGACTCAGCAGAATTTTCAACCAAATTCCTAGATCTTCAACAACTACTGTAAACCAATAAATGTCTTTTACTGATTTCACGGTAGCAAAAAAAAAAACATGCATGTGAGTGAGTGTATCTATGCGGTATGATAAATGATAAATGATTTGGTTTTGTATAAATTATAAATGATTCCGATTTTATACTAAATATTGAAATGAATGGAGGAGAAGGCTCTATGGAGGAATAAGTTGTTGCCATTAGATTTTATTGCACATTTGTTTCAGTAGTAATTTAATAGGTAAAAAGGAGTTTTTTCAGAGTAAAAAACATGAAAATTAAGAGACTAAAAAGTAATATCATTATTGTAACTTTCATACTACATGTACATGTATATATATAATTAATAATATATAGTTCATACTGGCTTAGTCCAATTCAATTTTATTCAAATATATCCTTATATATTTTCAAACTACACATACACATGAGAGTAATTACTTAGAAAGTCTGCCAGCTTACTCCGCGATATGTTGTATCCACAGATGGTTAAACCCACGTGGGTCACGAACCCACGCTCGAGAATTACACCACAGGCCCGGGTAAGGCATCCGGTTACGTGTGGTGTCGTTTCGTTGTCACTCACAGAAAACCCACCTCGGTTCTGACTTGGTTCAAACCAGTTTTGCTTTAATTTTTGCATGGTTCTTATGTCTTGAATCCTGGCATTAGAGCTTCTTTGGTGTTGGCATGGGAATCGTTGATAGAGTTTAGTGGTGTTACTGTACGTTGATTGACATGCATGCATGGTTGGTCATGCTCTGTTCTGTTCTTTGCACCAAGGGTAAGACCCTCTAGGTTTGCCCCCCTCCCCTTTTTCTTGTATACGTTTGTGCCTAGGAATGTACATGTAATGCCTACATGTACTGCTCTCTTCAGCACTTCAAAATTGTCTCTCTTCTCCAAAACTCTGTGTCAAGTACTGAAGTCAAGAAGAGGCATGCTCCCCTGTGAATTTCTACCCCCCTAACACGATTTTTACTTATTTGGTGGATTTCACATTCAAGTTTTGTGGCACTGTTTAGGGCCTCATCAAAATGTTGGTTTGGTGTTTTCATGCCTGTTAGAAACTTTGTTTTATAATTATACAAAGTACGTATAATTGTACATACATTTTGTATTATTGTACATGTATGCCTGTACAATGTTATGTACTGATATGGGCATAGTTTACTAGTAGGCTATCTTTTTTTAGACACATTAGTTTATTACTGCCGTAACATTATATCATCAACAAACTTTTTTCATAATGTGTCAACTAAGTGATAAATATGATAGGAAGTGTAGTTATTTATAATGTCATTCAAGCTCAGAGATCAGATTTAAAAAGGATAGCTTTTTATTATTATTTCAAGACATTTCTAACAAAAAACTACATTATAATTCATGGTCTTAGACTGTGATCTTTGCTGTCTTTTGCTGACTGTTTCATTTTCAGGATAGCCTTATTGTATGCCTATACATACAAATACAAAATACAAAAGTTGTAGTACCCTACATACATTGACAGGACTTCTAATACTAAGTGTAAAGCATTCATTTAAAAGTACTCCAGGATCTGTAAAGTACATAGGTCTGGCTTCTTCTCATCTCTCGGTGATGTTAAGTAGATGAGACTAGAATAGACGCATTTAAAGAGATGTGGTCAAAACACATTTAAAGAAATGTGAATTTTTCATGCAGTACTAGTCATAAATTTAAATTAAAACTTTCCTGTCATCATATTTTTTATAAAATTGTATGTGCTAGCAGCCATCTACAATCGAGCAACTTAACTGTCTATATAATATTATAAAGACTTAGTTATTCAAGTTGCAAAATGCAGTTCTGTTGTGCCTTCCTATCAAATGCATTTTTGTATTCAATTTGGTACTACAATGTATACAGTATATATCTACAAAATTTTGCTGACATGTGCTTTTCCCTCAGAACTGTTACGTGTGTAATGATTGGTGGGATTTTGATTCTTGCCTTTCTCAGTAAGCTGGAGTTTGATTCGCAGAGGAACAAGGGAGGCTGTCCAATCAAAGGCAAGCCCCCTGCTGACATCATCTACATTGATATCCTGGGACTGGCACAGATAAAGAAGACTCTAGGAATGGCAGGGATCCAACACTACGCGTATGTGTATAAATTAATATGTATTATCATGGTTAGTGTATTTCGTATTACCCAAGGTACCAGCCTGAATGCAATCCAAACTGCAGAAGGGCTGAGCCTGAGGGTGGTACAGAAAACACCATGTTATATTCTGTTTAATATACATGTACATGTGTGTGTCATAATAATTTAAGGAAACATACATTATTTTCAATGCCAAATGTGTCAAAAATTGAGACAATTTCGTGTTCCTAAAGAAATATTTTAACATCAAGACTTTAGTCCGATTCCAGTATTTGAATTTTTGAAAGCAGCTCGTGTTCAAATTATTCCACATGTACATGACATTGTATGTATGGAACTTTCAGAAGCCCATGTGCCCCAGCCAGCATGTGAGTGCTACCTTTAGAGAAGGTCTGACTTATAGCTTACCTTTCAAACTAAACAGCCAGTGTTGATGGCAACTTCAAACAGGATAACAAGTTAGCTTTTGGCTTAGATTGCCCAGTGATAACCTAAGAAAAAATTGTATTTTGATCCCTGTGTATACAATCAAAAAAAGGGTAAAAATTACTTAGTATATACATCGTACAACAAGTGATAGAATGAATCAATATTGACACTAAAATCAGCAAAATTGTATCTAAAAAATCGATTCCTTGCTATCATTCTTACAGGTGCTATTTCCGTGTGGTGGATAGTTTCGGCACCGAGCCAGAATTCAACTTCCAGCCGTACGCCAAGCAGCGTAGCCGCAAGTCCCCGTGGGGAGGCTGGAACTTCAACCCTCGTCAGTTCTTCACCATGTTCCCCCACTCACCTGACAACTCCTTCATGGGCTTCGTGGTCGAACAACATCTCAACAAGTCGGAGATTCAGGATATCCAGAAAATCAAGAAACAGAACCAGGCACTGGTGTACGGGAAAAATGACTACATGTGGGCCGGTTCGGAAAAACTCATGAACGAGCTCGCGCAGCATTTCCAAATCCACGCCACCGTCGCGAAGAATAACGACGAACAGCAGCAGTTGGAGAACGTGCCAAGTTTCGTGAACAATCACGGAGTGTTGCCCAGCGAGCAGCTATACGATCTTCTGAAAAGGACCAAACTTTTTGTCGGGCTGGGGTTTCCGTACGAAGGCCCGGCACCGCTTGAGGCGATAGCGAGCGGTTGCGTGTTTCTCAATCCTAAGTTTACGCCGCCAAAGAGCAGGCAGAACACAAAGTTTTTTGAGGGGAAGCCGACATTTCGAGAACTGACGTCGCAGCATCCTTATGTAGAGGTTTTTGTAGGGAAGCCCCATGTTTACACTGTGGACATTGATGATAGGGAGAGTGTGGAAGCTGCATTAACTGAGATTAAAAATTTAGAGGTAAGACATTTGACCTTTTTTCATTTTCTTTCTTTCTTTTTTCATTGAAAGGGGCATTAGTGGTATGTAACATTTTTGCACCAAAAATTGAAATTTTGTAGTTAATCTTATCCTCTTTCCACAGGTTGATCCATACCTGCCTTATGAGTTTACAGCTGAAGGCATGTTGCAGAGAGTTAGCACATACATACAGAAACATGTGAGTATACTGTGCAACAGAGACACCTTTTGGTTTGGCTTAGTTTAGCACTGCACCTTCAACATTCTACTACATGTACTTCAATGTAAAATTGCACCTCTAACACTTACATGTATCACAGCATCCAAATATAAAGTCTCAACCTAAAAGATCAATAAACTGAAAAAAAAATCACTTTTGATGTAAACGTATGAAAATATGTTGTCTACTTTTAGATGATGAAAGATTTACATATGTTTTATGTATAGTTTGAAACTTTGAATGATATTTTTTGGCAACACCGCAGGGGCAGAGCCCTTTATTGTGACTATTGTGGTTTTTAAGCCCTAGAAAATTAGAGTCAAAAGGGGCAAATAGGTATCTCAATATGCTAAACCAAACTGAACATGTATCTTGTTTCTACCCTTCAGGACTTCTGTAAAAAACCCCATGCGTGGCCTCCGGAGAGTGCCTTGCAGGTCAGGTTGTCAGGCAAAGGACAGTCGTGTAAACAAGCCTGTCAGGACCAGGGTCTCCTGTGTGAACCCAACTACTTTCCTCTTCTCAACAACAAGGACGTCATGGAAAAGTAAGTCTCAGATAATTATACAATAAGCTGTTTTACGGTTTGAAGTGCGCAGGTGCAAGAAGCTCATGATCTTGATAAAACCTCATTTGCATCTTTGAAAGTAATAATTTTTTAATTTCCTTATTAGTTATGGAAATTATCCCATAATTTGCATAATAACCATCCAGACATTATGTCAATAATTTGTTATTATATATAAGATATCTAAATTATTTAATTAAATGTAGAAAAAAAACATGATTTGTCAGTCCCTTCTTGAGTTCTATACTCTGTCAAAGTCTAAAACAAAATTGACCCCTGCAGTTCTAACAAGGCTGCTAGGGGGCCCGTCCCTGTACCACCAAGTCACATGCCAAATTTGATTCCTGTTTCAGATTAAAGAATGATTAACACTCAATGATCTGTTTCTCTTCTGTTAAGACAGTTTGGGGTAAGTCCTAATTCATTCCAGTGTTGGAAGGAAAGTTAAGTGTTTACTTCACAATGACTTGTACCAACACAGATGAACTTTCATGCTATACTTCTCTTCTGTTGCTATAGAAATGGGCTGAAGTGTGACTCCATGGATGACATGATGGAGGTGTACGCTCCCAGTAAGAACGAGGGGACCAGCACCTGCTCGGTACAGACGGAACAGCTGCTGTTCAGCTGCGTGGGGCAGGACCCCGACTACCGACGCATCTGTCCCTGTAGAGATTTCATCCATGGCCAGGTGGCGCTGTGCCACGACTGTCTATGACAGCTGTCCCTGCAGGTGGCACTGTGCCACGACTGCCTATGACAGCTGTCCCTGCAGGTGGCACTGTGCCACGACTGTCTATGACAGCTGTCCTACAGGTGGCGCTGTGCCACGACTGTCTATGACATCTGTCCTACAGGTGGCGCTGTGCCACGACTGTCTATGACAGCTGTCCGACAGGTTGCGCTGTGCCACGACTGTCTATGACAGCTGTCCTACAGGTGGCACTGTGCCACGACTGTCTATGACAGCTGTCCTACAGGTGGCACCGTGCCATGACTGTCTATGACACCTGTCCTACAGGTGGCGCTGTGCCACGACTGTCTATGACAGCTGTCCTACAGGTGGCGCTGTACCATGGCTGTCTATTACAGCTGTCCTACAAGTGGCACTGTGCCACGACTGTCTTTGACAGCTGTCCCTGCAGGTGGTGCTATGCCATGACTATCTATGACAGCTGTCCTACAGGTGGTGCTGTGCCACGACTGTCTATGAGAGTATCACTGTTAAAAGTGACGAGTTAAGGTGAGATTTTTATGTATAATGCGGCACCTTATAAATTTCACTGTCATACATTCTATTTGTTAAGCAGGGAAGGACAAGAACTGAGATTTGTTTGATGTCTGTTCCTTGTGTTTGACCAGATTTTCACACAGGCAAAAAATCTGACTGTCCAAAAACTGTGTATGCACACGAGCATACAAAAACTGTTCACCTCAAATGTAAATTGGCCTGGCGTGTGCATTAACGTACGTAAAGAACATACGTTTAGATTGTATGCTTTGATAGACATGAAAACAGACCGATTTATACACAGGAAAATTTGCCGTACACTGTTTTCATACACAGTTTTTCATACGCCAGCAGAAAAGAAACAACTGTTTTCCCCATTGCCTTGAATGCTGCCAAACTCTGCAAGGGAGATTTTCTTTCCCCACCAGACGTTATAAACAGCCACATGTTAATACTCAGAGGATATTTATTTGTATTGTAGCAGTGCTGTTCCTAAGGTTTTTGGAGCAAATCTGTTCTTGAAAGGAGTTACATTGCAAATTGAGAATTTTTTTTTGTTTTGTTTTAGAAAATTTTTAACCAGAAAAAACACAGACAAAGATACAGAAAACTAGTTATGTCTTAGGAAAAAAAAAGTAGTTGAAATGCTTTTCAGGATAATGCTGCAGAAAGTTTCAAATAGTACGAAAACATCTTTTTTGGTATAAACAAAATTTTCCATAAACATTCGATTGATTAATTAGTAAGAAATAAAGTTGCAAATTCCTGGTTGGCATAGTCAGGGAGGTTTGAATACTTTTAATTATTTAATCTCCTTGGTGTATCCAAAAAGTTTGTATCTCAGACTACCCCCCTGGTGATGATTTTGGAACAGTCCATGATGACTGATGACTTTATGTTTGTTTCTAGGAGCACGTCGGCAGAATGTACTGCGCCTGCGCAGAACCCCGTATTTTCGCGTTTTTCGTTGGGTTTTTGGTCAACGTTGCATCAGAATTTTTCCTGATGCAGAGGATATTCTTTCCGACACAACATTTGGAAACTACTGTCGAAATGCTAACCTTATATGAGCAAATACAACCTGTTCTGCCGAAGCGCTATGTACAATACATTACGGGTTTCGCGCAGGTGCAGTACGTTCTGCCGACGTACTGTTTCTAAGAATTTTTATAACAGCATTTGTTGTCACATTTTGTGTCAGTGTCATGGAGCAAATACCTCAAGTTGCTTCTCTTTAGCAAATAACATTGAACTAGAAACATTCCCCATACATGGACTCACTGTATTGTTGGTGAATAAGCTCATTCACAGGGAGTAAGCCAATTCACCCACAATGCATCACAGTGTGATGCATTGTGGGTAATATGTCAAAGATGAAGCACCCTGAGACACAAACATACATTATTATGTAACATATTGCATTTAACCTTTACACACTATTCAACCTTTAGACTGCTAAGGGTGCCCCTTGGAACCAAGTTTGTATTGGTTATGGGGTTAGGTAGCAAGGAGAAGGTTAATTATTAAAGAACCCACCTCACTTTTCTAAAAGAAAAGGACTATCATTATGGTGCATTGTCTAAGAACAATAAACAGTTATAACTTTTGAGACATGTGGCACTCGCACAGCCATATGTATGTGAATTGTAAGTAGCAGTTTATAATGTTATATTGTTTAAAGTTAAAACTTATGTTTCAACATGAGATTGTTCTCACCTAGAGCTTTTGACCAGTTACTGTGGTCTATTAGTGTTTGATGAATTTACAAACTGTGGTCAGTTATACAAATATGGTTCAGAAGTTTGTGTCCAAAAAGGATTAGAATGTACAGTGCAATAAGAAAGAAGTTTGGGTCTATGATCTAAGCCATAAATGTACGTTCAGTAATGCAGTTCACAAAGCTCTGTTATGTCAACCATTATAGTTGTGCCAGGTATCCTACTGTATTTCAGACCTGCAAGTGTTTTGGGATTTTTATAGATGTGTTTGAATTGTGGAGAGGATTACATGATGTGATTTCATTGGATATTACACCACTGAATTCTAGCAATGTCTGGAACACACACATACAAACCCATTATAGAATATAGAGCCACCCAAAACAATATTTCTGTCCCAAAAGAAAATCATCACTGTAAAGAGATGTACTAAATGCAGCATAGGAGAAGGCTTTGAAACACAGTTCTTGAAACTACTGGTCTTACATATAGGATATCTGGTGCAATTACATGTATTAGAGTTGATATGAGCTTTGTAAGGTTGTATTTGGTAAGATGTGCTCAAGAGCATTTTATGATGTAATGATATACATTTTGTATCATGTGTGTTACAAGTTTGTTGTACACGGTAGTGTTAGTGGAAAATGTGTTATTAAAGATTTCTGCACTTAAGTTAGTATCCTAATTTTTGGCAACTCCTTAGGAGTGGTTCCAGTAGTACATGTAACTTACTGTAGTTGTTTTTACCAGTGATGTAACGTTAGTGACTGTTTTGAAATTAACACGTAAAGGTATGATATTACACTGGCTGTGTTGCAGTTGGTGCTAAAAAGCAATTCATAGCAAAGATTTGATACATGCAGGATTCGAAATATGCCGTGCAAGTCTTGTTCTCTGTGAGACGTATTGAAGATGCCAGGTTGCTTGGTAAACAAGTCATCTTTTGTTTCTTTCATACAAAGTGACCTTTTTTAAAAGTTTGCAGCGGCCGAAATAACATGTGATAGTCAATCTAGCTCTTGGCACAGGTTGCCCAATGTGTAACCTTAGAAAAAATGTATTTCGAAACCTGTCATGTATCCTGGAGTCATTGGCGTTTGGAAAATGTGTTATTTGTAACAAAGAAGAGGTTGTAAAGAGTGATTTTACCTAAAATTGTATATCTTGCTACAATGGTAATAGAGGTAGCTGAAACCTGTGACTGTGAATGGTATTGTTGTAATGTTATCTTTCAATATATTTATTACAAGTATATGCTAATGTTTCAGTGCTTCACTTGTTGGATACTGTATACTATTTATTTTACAATTTATCAACTGAATATGTATAGCCAGGGCTGCCCAATTAATTACATGTGGCCAGTGCAAGAATTCTTTAGGGGCCCGACATATTGTCGTACAACGATCGTGATACAATCGCAAACTGAATCCATTCTTGTGATAGTTGTGCATGGGTCGTACAATCCCATATTCTTAGTAAGAAGACAACACTAAAATCGTAACACGCCCTACAGCGAATTCGACAGTGCCGCAAGATATGATGTACTAACGCTTCACTGATTATGACAATTTGATATGGCAACTTATGAGTAACATACAACATGTTTTTAGCGTTGCTTTGAAGATAATGCAGTTCATAATGCAGTTTCTCTCACTACGCCATAATCATGCTCGCGTAAGTTTCTAGCCATTCGATCATTCTAAATCTGTGGAACTACCATTGTTCACCAGTTCTTTTTCCAGTTATTCCGGTAGAGGTCGCTGGGAAGCCGTCATCAGAATGGCAGTTCCTCTCTCCACGCCGTGATTATGTTCGCGTAAGTCTCTGTCCACTGTACTCTCCAAGCAGAGGTTTGGGTTTTAGGGGGGTTTTTTTGGCGCGTTTTTAGGCTTTTTTTATCTTTTTTTTTCACTTCATTTTTTTCACTTCCCAACGCCCTCCGTCATCAGACCGCAGTTTCTCTCTCCATGCCGTGATTATGTTCGGGAAAAAATCTTTCATGATGATCATTCTCATCCTGTGGGACAAACGTTGTTAGTTCAATTTCCAATTCTTCCGCTAGGGGTCGCTGGGAAGCCGCTGCATCCCAACATCTCTCCATCAAACGGTACAGCCTGGCGGGGCAGTTCTCCGGTCTCTCCAGGCGCGCGCCGAGCTTGAGCAGGTTGAGCAGCCGGCGGCAGTCCGGCCGCAGCAGGCCCGGGTAGTGAGGCTCCTCCCCGAAGGTAACTATCTCCCAGAGCAGCACGCCGAAGGACCAGACGTCGCTTGAACTTGTGTAGACGCCGTCTCTTATGGACTCTATAGACATCCACTTCAGTGGAAGGAGATCCGCTACCCCGCCCGCCTGTTTCACGTGTACGTACTCAGTGTTAGTGTACACATCGCGAGCCAGCCCGAAGTCTGCGATCTTAGCTACGTTCTGCTCGGTGACTAAGACATTTCGTGCCGCCAGGTCGCGATGGACGATTTTTAACCGCTCCAGCTCCTGTAACCCTCGGGCCACGTGGACTGCCAGGCCGAGGAAGTCGAGTGAAGAAGCCCCCGGGTTGGCTCGACTTCGCCGAAGGTACTGAAGAAGGTCTCCCCTTGGAGCGTACTCGAGTAGAATCCGCTTGGGGTCTGACTGTGTGATGACTCCGTATAGTCCGATAATGTTTGGGTGCATAGACTTTTTACCATCCACTCTGTGTTCGGAATGGTTAAATAGTGACGTTAAAATATCGGCTTCGCGGTAAAAGTCCTTGTGGCACATTGCGCTGTAGGAAGAGCATTGAAGAGTCTTCACAGCGACAAATATATTTTGTTTTCCTGGTCTTTTAGTTGTCCCAGTACTACGTGACCAAATGTCCCTTGTCCAATCATTTTTATCACTTCTAGCTGTTTCTCCTCTCGTTCCCAGGGTAGCAACTGCATCTGCATTTCTTCGTTCTCGTTCATATTTTCAAGTACTTCTGCATTTTTGTTGTTCTTTCTGCGGGCCTTGGGTGAGAGAGGGATTAAGCCACGGCGCAGGTAGCGAAAAATGACTACAAACGCAAGTACCAAAGCAAGAACCGGTACTGTTAACCATGCAAGACTGGGGTTGGAACGTGCGGTTTTTGCGATCTCACACTTAGAACCGTGCCAACCAACAGGACAACTGCAGGTGCCGTTGACATGGTCACATTTGGCTGCGTTCTCACAATTACACCTTGTCCTACAGTCTTGCCCAAAATAACCTTCAGGACAAGGGGATTCACAGCTGGCTCCCATCCAACCAGGAAGACATATACATCCCCTCATTCGGTCGCATCGCATGCTGTTAATGTGGTGAATACAATCGCAAGTCTTGTTGCAGAACTTTCCGTGGTAGTTAGACGCACATTTTGTTGCGTTCAGTAAAAACTCCGTCTCCAAGCTTCGCCCGTCAGTTGTGTTCACAACGCAGTAATAAAATCCGTTTTTGTCGTCATGGACGGACGGTACCACGACGGAACTTTCCGTTCTGTGTAACACTATCCGTCTTCCGCTTTCCATGCTATTTCCGGATAGCGGTTTGTATTCCCATGTTAAGGAGGTCATGTTAAGGTGAATTGTTGTACAGGACAGTTTAACGCTGTCTCCAATCTTGATATTTTCGGCCGGTATTGTGGTTGTGATTGTCATAGCTGGTACGGGTATATCACAGGCGACACCTACCCAACCTGGCTTACATAAACAGGCTCCGTTGTATCCATGGCAACTCGCGCCATTTTTACAGATACAGGTTTGGTCACACAAGGGACCGTACAGGCCTAGTCCACAACCTGAAATGGTGACAGAGAATCGAAGAGATAAACTCAATGATTTGTCACCATAACGAAGAATATCACTAACATTGCACTGGTATGTCACGGACGAAGAAACAACGTTAGTGTCGAAATAGAGGAAATGTTCCTGAGTAGTATCGTTGACCCAAGATGATTTGAGGAGGTTGTTCTGTTCAAGTTTTTGAAATGCCAGTGTTGCTTGGCCAGTCTTATCGTTTCTGCGAATGAAGTAGAATGTACCTTCGATGCCTTTGCGGTCAGAAGGGCAGCTGATGTTGCTAATCTTGCTCAAATCCAAGATTGAAAACCCGGTAGCCCATTCTAGTTTATTATAACCCGAACCCCATGTTACTTGAGCTCTGCAATTGTTGTTGGCTGTATTGACGAGGGCATACCGATAGTCACTGTTTGAAACATTGTCAGGAAGGTCCTTGTGATGATTGCCGACCCTTGTTGCACTGAGGACA